GAGCGGTGTGCACAGTAGGAACAATATACTCACCGTGGTCCGCTGGGTCTCGTCTGGTCACCGAATGTGAGGGATTTCCCTCGTGGTTTTGCCCGCTGGGAGGGGTTGGGGCATCGCTCCATCGTCGCCGATAGTCTTCGTTGTAGCGGTATCTACTGCTAGTCGGTCCTTGATGAGGCCTTGGCCCCCACGGTCTTCGGATTATTTTCGCTGCTGACGTCGTTGGTGATACAGTGCCACACCGAAGCTCTCTGCTCCATGAACAGCTCGCTGTAGCCTCTTCGTTTCTCCTGCCAGAGCAACAGCTTCGCTGAGGCTTTTAGACGATTTTGTAATCAGCGTTTTCTTCACTGACGCACCAATGACTTCTACAAAACGTTCCACAGCACGCTTATCCTGTGCTTCGCTGTTGTCGTCGTGAGAAGCTTCAGACATCAGTTGCTTGACGCGATACGCGTATGCCTCTGTGGTCTCCCCGATGTTCTGGCGTGCCGAGTGGAGTTGTAACTGGTACTCGATTGGGTCAAGTGGAGTATCAAGGAGGCATCGCAGTTTTCGAAAACTCCATCGAGATCCTCCTGCTCGAATGCCGTCAACTGAAAGGCTCTATCGGCCGCTTCACCGGCCAACAGGCCTAAAATTGCCACTTTCCTCTTTGATTCGGGAAACGTTTGCACGTAAGCACGCGTCCGCACTTCCCAACGAGCATAATTTCCGCCGATAGTGAACTTTTTGGGTGGCGGGAGTGGTGAAAACGTCTCCATTCGGAACGAGTCGTCGGTGATAAGTTTCGATAAAAATTGGCTGATCAATTCGCTGACGCCCGTCGCGGCGCTAGTTTCTCACTTTATGTTTTTAGCCCGCTCGGGCTTCTCTTCTTGAGCCTTGCCGTTTTGCTTCTTGGTCGATCCTGCCCGCAAAGTCATTTGTAGCGTGAAAGGCAGAAGACGTTTTGGGGCAGTATAATTGAATTGGTAACAAACTACAAGATAACAATATAAAAATAACAGCCAAACGGGAATTTACAGTTTGTGTGAGTTTCGAATTCACAGAGTTCTCCTTGTCCGTAATAATATTAACAGCAAAACGATCTGAAATAGAGATAACGTATTGTATCACCGTTTGTTGCAGGCACACGTGTTAGCAATAACAATAATAGCAATGGCAAGTCAAATGTTGGGCCAGGGGGCATAACAAAAATAATAGTTATAGGTTCTCGGTGAGCTGGTGGTTTCGGTCCCGCCATACACTGTTCCCTTCTTTCAGGGCTCCGTCCGCGGAGACACCGCAAGACCGCCCTCTGCGGGTACCTCGATTTTGTATTTCACCGGTGGTGTCTCTACTGGCCTTGTCTGCTTCAGGTCNATAATAGCAATGGCAAGTCAAATGTTGGGCCAGGGGGCATAACAAAAATAATAGTTATAGGTTCTCGGTGAGCTGGTGGTTTCGGTCTCACCATACATCAGGGCCAAAAAAACACGTTTCGATTCTCACACACTAAGGTTGACCAGGAAACGGCCTCGATTGAAATTTCATTCAATCACCATCAATTAACCGTAGACTCACATCGGGTTCCGTTAAATCTCTGTGGGGATTGCACAGTGTGGTTTTGGCTACCACGGAATTCAATTGCTGATATCGAGTACTATATCTCTAACCACCTAGTGGTAAAATCTGTAGATTTCTGGTGATATGGACTTTGATGAAACGTTAGTTACCTGATCAGTTGGAATCTTTTAAAGAGCCAAGTTTACAAATGTAATGTATATGGTGTCGGTATCGAAGAATCATTTTATCGATTACATATGTGTCGCTCTACCATTGACAAACACTTTATTCAAAATTGTTTTTGCTCATTTATAACAATCAAAGAATTTCGAGCAACAAATCGTGCACCCACCAGACAATAAATCTAAAAATACCCTTCAAAACATAGCACGATTATAAAGACACTCGCAAAAGCTTTGAATGCTCAACCGCTGAACTAAAGGCAACTAAATTCCGTCATTTTATTATTGAATTAAATTGCATAGGTTTATTAATTTTTAATCGGGGGGGGGGGGNGTAAAGAGTTCAGTTAAGTACAAAGATTCATTCCTATAATGATGGATGATTGTAATTGCATTAACCCACTGATCACTGATCCGTTGCCATTTGGGCATGCAAGTGATTACTGATTGCTAGAACTGGCCATCTTCCATACTTCACCTTCAAGCACACCTCTCAGGTAAACGACAGCCAATGGTGTCTTTCTTCCTTCCTGTCGGGCCAAAATGATCAGACTAACTATCCCAGAAGATGACACCTGCACAAACATGAATTGGAAGTTTGGGTCAGTCCTGAGATGAGATGGTTGCTGGGTTCGGAGTTAAAACCCCGGAGGGGCTGGTGGATATGCAATACTACTGAAATTTAACAAGACCAAAGATGGAGTCTAGCGCTTCTCAGAGCATGGTTGATTGGGAAAGCTGAAGCTTTCACATGAACTTGAAGTCTGAAGGATGGATAATTCCAAACGATCAGTATCCATCATTCCATAGCACTGCCCACGACTGGCCTCGCGTCCACATTCGTTGGGTAAATGGAAACATGTTATTCAGACCTTATATGAAATCGGTTCTTACGGAATTGGAAATACTCATGCTATCATTTTATTTTACTTAGCACAAAATCTTTTTTACCCAGGCGCTTCAGAATCGTTGGCATTGCTGTAATCAGATTTTGATTTCTACTAGTTGTATCATCAAACGGTGAGCATTTAACCGCATAAAAATGTTTATACCTGAATAACCCGTCAACAGTTATCACTTAAAACATACTTGTTCGTTCAAATCAAAGAACTTTCCTCATGGGATCCAGAGGAATCGATAAAACATGGGATCCGAGATGGTCAAGGCATGTACAATAACTGGTTTGTTGACACAGGGAGTCGGTCAGTCAGTCAGAAAGGACTAACTGACTAACTCACTGTGAACATTAGCGTTAATAGTTTTAGTTCACAGTGTGATCTGAGCAATTCTAATCATGCAATTTAGGATCAATGTGGATGGGTACAAACACTGGAAATTTCTTCTTGGTTACTGTTGAAACGTTTGAACCAAATAGCCAAACCTTTTAGTCTCTGGGCTAATGATGTCCACGAATTCGTACGTCTAACAACGTTACGAAACAAAGCAAAACGATTGCTATCACAAAACTTCAACAACGGTTGTGCTGTAATGAGCTGGAGAGTAGAGAGAGAAGCGTACAGGTTATTAAGCGTGCATAAAGTGAAACTCAACGTACCGTGACCCACGAGATAATCTTTGTCCGGTAAAACAACAAGGTCCTAAAGATGGAAAAGGCACATGTGCGGAAAGGGTTGACACTGTCACCACAACCTTGACTGAGAGACGGAAATCAGTGAGTGATTTTTATTGGAAGTACAAACTATACATGAGTAGATCAAATAAACCAGGTAAAAGTCTTACATATCTTTTTGTAACTTCTCGAAGGTTTCCGGTGTATGATACTTCCCGAAAGCAGCATTGGAAGACGGTTAGTTTGATGTAGGTGGCTTTGGTGGCTGGATGAAATAATCAAGGAAATATTCACAGAAGCAGAATCGGTGTTATAGATGACAAAATCTGCGTACAAAAGAGAAACACAGATACATCTAATTAGTGATTTACAAAGTGGAAGCAAAAGCTGCAAATGCCTGTACCGTTTTGCGGAAAAGGCTTCTTTTGATGGTACCTTCATCTCACCTAGATAATAAAATATTGAAGAAGGTTTTAGCTTAGTTCAGTTCTCACTGAACGAATTGTGCCTTGTGGCAGTATAGCTACTTGTGTTCTCGGCGGTTTCGTTGGTTTTCAACACGTCTAATCAATAGTATTTGCTGAAAGGCAGAATGCTAGTTTGCAGTACCAGATCCCTAATGATGTTTAGGAAAATAAAGCCCGACGATTAACTTTCAACATTCAGCATTTGTCCAGCTTTCTCTTGAAAGATTCGACACTAATAGAGTTAACCACTGCTTTATGTAATTTATTCCACAGTGATACATGCCTGGTTGTGACGAACCTTGCTGGTAGATTTAATCTTCAATAACTTCGTTCCTTTCTATGATGATTCCACCTCGTGCCCCCGACAGGAACAAACGAGAATAGATCTTTGAACTTTAGACCTGAAAGCCCTATGACAATCTTAAATGTCTCTATAAGGTCAACCCTAATTCGTCTGAGAGCCAGGGAGAACAGGTCCCGGTTCCTCAGTCGTTGGAGGTATCTCTTATCTTTCTAGCCTGCTACCATCTTGGTTGCTGACAGCTGTACTTTCTCAAGACACGGTTCATCCTGTTTAAAAAACGGCGCCCATCCCTGCATGCAATTTTCTAGATGGAAATGTACAATAGTTTTGTGCAAAGGTGCAATAACCTCGGGTTTTCTGCAACGTACATCAGCGCACAACCTGAACAGTTCGTGTCCAGCTTTGTTCGCCGCACGCTTGCACTGCAGGGATGATCCAAAGTTATTTGTAATCATTACCCCAAAACGTTTGCCTCAGAGAAATGCTTCAAATTCATTGCAACTCTCGTCTCATCATTGACTCTTGTGTTCAAGAGCTAACACTTACCTAGATTCAGTGGTAGCTCCCATTTATTTGACCACTTTCGAACTGCATCTAGATCTTGTTCCAATCCTTCCTCAGCTAACTTCACATCATTGGAGAACATGTAGCAAGAATTTTGAAGATGCTTAGCAGGATCGTTAATGAAGATCAAAAATAATAACGGATCCAACACCGATCCCTGTGAGACATCATTCGATATTCCTTCAGATTTGGTTTTATAATTTCCAACTCACATTAAATGTGCGAGAGTTGAGTAATTGTCAAATCCAATACCTTGCCTTACCTAGAATTCCCAGTGCCTGCAATTTTAGATACGGAGGCTGATGACTGATCGAGTCGAAAGCCTTGCGTAAATCTAAATAGCAAACCTACATCTGGCGACCTGCGTCCATTCTTTTCATCACTTCGTCTACAAATGCCAGAAGATTGGTTAGGCAAGATCGCTTCTGAAGAAATCCATGCTGGGCTTAAATCAGAAGCGTATGCGTCATCGGGCAAGAACGTATCTGTTTCCTCACTATCCTCTTGAGACACTTCAGGTCAAGTTAGGTCAGGTTGCACAGAACTGATAATGGCCACGTCCAATCGAGCGTCCAGATTTCTTCCGGCAGTAGGCTCACAAAGTGTGCACCCACAACTGCGAATTGCTTTCAGTACGGCGCCCTTGCTGAAAAGGATAGGAAAAAGCTCGTCTGCTTTCGCCTCATCGGCGAACAAGGGACATGGTTCATGAAGGCGTCCCATAGTACAATAAAGATCCTACTCTGAAAATAGCTCTAACCATCGCTTATCCAGGGCGAGCTTAAATGCAGTCATGCTTCATAAATCCTTTGGCAACCGGTTCCAACTGTTCACTACTCTATTTCTGAAGACGCTGGATCTAACAACCAGGATGCATTGCTGCTTATGCAGTTTGTACCCATTCCCTCTAGTTCCTTGGTGAATAGCCCCCTGGAAAATGCTCTCTTTCCTTACTACCGAGAGTCCCTTTACAATGTAAAAGGTCTCCAGTAAGTCTGCCCCTAGTCTCCTCCTTTCTAGCGAGCAGAATCCTAAATATTTTAGCTTGTCTTGGTGTGACTCGCCCTTTTGACCTTCAATCATTCGGGTGGCTAGTCTTTGAATTTTCTCTAAACAGGCTGCATCCTTT